GGTTTGTGTGCCACTCTGATGCCCAGCGGTCGTAGAAGTCTTGTGGTGAGTTCTGACGTGTTCCTGACGTAGGGTAGTGTGATCAGTGTGTCGGAGCATGTAGGATCTTTCCGATGCTGTTCCTGTAGGCATCTCCTGACCCAGTTCTTTGGATATCCATTATCCTTGAACACTTGGAAGAGGTATTCTTCCTCTTCTTGGCGTAGTTCCGTGTTGTTGCCCTTTTAAGTAGTGTTCGCACGCAGCTTCGTTTGTGTGTGCTGGGAGGGTTACTATTGAAGTTCAATACCTGGTCTGTGTGTGTGGCTTTTCGGTGTACTTTCGTTTGCAGTTCCCCATTTTGTCTTGCGCTGTACCATGACGTCCAGGAATGGAAGTTGTTTGTTCTTCTCCTCCTCTCTGGTGAATTTTATTCCGGTGAGGGTGTTGTTTATGAGTTTGTGTGTCTCTTCTAATTTGGTCCGTTTAATGATGACAAAGGTGTTGTCTACGTAGTGTATCCATATAGTTTAGGTTGGATTTGCGGAAGAGCAGTCCTTTCCAGTCTTTGCATCACTGCTTCTGCTATGAGTCCGGAGATAGGCGATCCCATGGGTGTCCTGTTGATTTGCTCGTTGAAGGTGAAGTGGGTGGTCGGGCATAGGTCCAGTAGTTTAAGCATGGTGTCCTTGGAGATGGTTTCACTAGGGTCGTGAGCTACAAAGAAGATTCAAGCACCTAGTCAACAAATCACCCCACTCCATCCACTCAGCCCAAGAATTCCTCAACTCCATCAAAGACAAAGATAGAGGACGAAGAGACCATGATATCGTTTGATGTCACTGCCCTATTCACGTCAATAGACATATCACTAGCAAGGGAAACAATGACAACACTACTTGAACAAGAACACGACCCCAGTGAAACCATCTCCAAGGACACCATGCTTAAACTACTGGACCTATGCCTGACCACCCACTTCACCTTCAACGAGCAAATCAACAGGACACCCATGGGATCGCCTATCTCCGGACTCATAGCAGAAGCAGTGATGCAAAGACTGGAAAGGACTGCTCTTCCGCAAATCCAACCTAAACTATATGGATACACTACGTAGACAACACCTTTGTCATCATTAAACGGACCAAATTAGAAGAGACACACAAACTCATAAACAACACCCTCACCGGAATAAAATTCACCAGAGAGGAGGAGAAGAACAAACAACTTCCATTCCTGGACGTCATGGTACAGCGCAAGACAAAATGGGGAACTGCAAACGAAAGTACACCGAAAAGCCACACACACAGACCAGGTATTGAACTTCAATAGTAACCCTCCCAGCACACACAAACGAAGCTGCGTGCGAACACTACTTAAAAGGGCAACAACACGGAACTACGCCAAGAAGAGGAAGAATACCTCTTCCAAGTGTTCAAGGATAATGGATATCCAAAGAACTGGGTCAGGAGATGCCTACAGGAACAGCATCGGAAAGATCCTACATGCTCCGACACACTGATCACACTACCCTACGTCAGGAACACGTCAGAACTCACCACAAGACTTCTACGACCGCTGGGCATCAGAGTGGCACACAAACCCACATCAACCCTACGACAAGTGCTCACCCGAACTAAAGACCCACTCCCCGCCATGGACAGGACCAATGTCATCTACAAGATCCCCTGCAGAAACTGTGAGAAACACTTCATTGGACAAACAGGAAGGAACCTAACAACAAGAGTACACGAACGCCAACTGGCTACATAAAGACACGACCAATACTCGCTCATCTCAATCCACATGGACAAGGAGAACCACGACTTCGACTGGGACAACACCAAGATCCTGGGACAGGCTAGGCAGAGACAAGCACGAGAATTCCTGGAAGCACGGCACTCCACAAAGTATGCTATTAATAAACACATTGAACTCGAACCCATATACATTCCACTATGGAGGAAACCCGGAAGTGAGACAATCCATCGCAACGGACCCCAGAGTTTAAAAGCCAGGCGGGAAAACACACCGACGCTTCATCAGAGGCTGCACTGAGGATGTTACCAAGCATGGTAATGAAATGTCTGTGGAACAACAAACCAGCTCAGCGAGCCAACCAACCTCAATAGGGCCTGGTTATTCAGCATTTCTTCACACAAAAAGGATGGGGAAATCTGAAACTTTTTGCCCCGCCCCCCCCCCCCCCCCCCACACACACTCACACACACACTCACACACACTCACACACACACTCACACACACTCACACACACTCACACACACTCACCTTCGGATATGTAGAATTGTATTGGGAACTGGAAACACTTTTTTTTCAACAGATTACACACATCTCCCCTTCTGATTTTCGCCATGGGATTGTTGGGGAAGGCATTAAACGGGAAACTAGAGATGTTAGCAATGAAGGTATAGCTGTAACTGTGTTCAGGGTGGTTTTCTCGATCAATACGTTGAGGAACTGACTATAGAACGTACCATCCTAGACTGAGTATAGTGACCATACTATTCTTGAATCCATCATTAAGATGGACAATGACATAGTTGATTTTGAGAATCCGCTAGCTTGCCAGGAGCATACAGAATGATTGTAAAAGCATCTATAGGCATGTGAAGACAAATGTACGTCCTTACAATCAGAAACAGTAAAGTTATAATGAGAAGTAAAGAGATGACAGACTAATTTAAATGGATATTTTGGTCCTGCCTTCACAAAGGAGGATACAAATAATGTCCCAATAATGTTGGGAATACAGGATCTAGTGAGAGGGATGAACTGAAGGAAATCTGTACTCGTTGCGAAGTGGAGTTGTGGAGATTGATGGGATAGAAGGTAGATAAGTTCCCAGGGCTAATCTACATCTGTGTACTTAAGGAAGTAGCTGTAGAAATAGTGGATGCATTGGTGGTCATCTTCCAAGATTCTATAGTCTCTGGAACAGTTTCCATGGACTGGACAGTAGCTAACATGACCGTTCTATTTAAATAAGGAGGAGAGAAAATAATTACATACTGTTTAGCCTGACATTGGTACTGGAGAAATGCTAGAATCCATTATAAAAGGCTTAATTGTTGAGCACTTGGGAAACAGTGACAGGATCGGACAGAGTCAGCATGGATTTACAAAAGGGAAATTGTGATTGACAGATCTGCTGGAGTGTTTTTTTTTTTTGAAGATGTCACTTGTAGAGTTGATTAGGTGAACCGGTGGATGTGGTTTACTTAGGACTTTAAGAAGGCTTTTGATAAGGTCTCATGTAAGAGATTAGCTTGCAAAATTAAAGTGCATTGGATTGGAGGTAGTGTACTGACATAGACAGAGAACTGTTTGGCAGACAAGAAACAAACAGCAGGAATAAACAGAAACAGGAACAAAAACAGATGTTGCTGGAAAACTCAGCAGGTCTGACAGCATGTGGAAAGAAAAAAATCAGAACTTCCTCAGAACTTGCGAATAAACGGGTCTTTTTCTGGTCTTTTACCAAGTGGCAGGCAGTGACTCATGGAGAACTGCAGGGATCAGTGGTTGGACCCCTGCTATTCACAATATAAATTATTGATTTAAATTACTGGGTTGGTGATGGCACAGTGGTATTATCACTAGACTATAAATCCAGAGACCCAGGTAATGTTCTGGGGGCCTGGATTAAAATCCCGCCATGGCAGATGGTGGAATTTGAATTCAATAATAAAGAGTCTAATGCTGACCATAAAACTATTGCCGATTGTCAGGAAAAACTAATGCCCTTTAGGGAAGGAAATTTGCCATCCTTACCTGGTCTGGCCGACATGTGACTCCAGACCCACACCAATGTGGTTAGCTCTTTACTGCCTGATGGGCAATAAATGCTGTTCTAGCCAGTGACGCCCACATCCCCATGAATGAATTTTAAAAAAAGAGGCAACTAAATGCATCTCCAAATTTGCAGATGACACAAAGCTGGGTGGGAGTGTGGGCTCTGAGGAGGATACAGATGCTTCAGTGTGATTTGGACAAGCCAAGTGAGTGGGGCAAATGCAAGGCAGATGAGGAAGTATGGACAAATTTGAGATTATCCACTTTGGTAATAAAAACGGGAAGCAGATTATTATCCGAATACCAATAAAATGGGAAATAGGGAGGTAGAGCAACACCTGGGTGTCCTCATAAGCAGTCACTGAAAGGAAGCATTCAGCTGCAGCTGGTGGTGTAGAACGCACATGGTATGTTGGCCTTTGGAATGAAAGGGTCCGAATACAGGAGCAGGGATGTCTTGCTACAATTATACAGGATCTTGGTGAGACCACACCTGAGTAATTGTGTGCAGTTTTGGCCTCCTTGTCTGAGGAAGGATGTTCTGGCTACGTAGGGAGTGCAGCGAAGATTTACCAAACTGATTCCTGGTGGCAGGACTGATGTATGAGGAAAGACTGGGTCGGTTAGGACAATATTCACTGGAGTTTAGAAGACTAAGGGGATATCACGTAGAGAGATAGACAATTGTAACAGGGCTAGACAGGGTAAGCACAGCAGCAATGTTCCTGATAACCACGCAGTTCTAGGAGACTAGGGGTCACAGTTTAAAGATATAGGCTAGGCCAATTACAGCTGAGTTGAGGAGACATGTCTTTACCCAGAGAGTGGTGAGCCTGTGGAATTCACTGCTGTAGAAAGTGATTGAAGCCAAAGCAATGAATGTTTTCAAGCGTAGACTCCTAGAGATAAAGGGATCAAAGGGTACAGGGAGAAAGTGGGAACAGGGCACTGAGTTGGATGATCAACCATGATCTCATTGAATGGTGGAGGAGGCTCGAAGGGCCAAATGACCTGCTCTTGGCCCTGTTTTCTGTATTTCTGTATTCGGATGAAATTTAGCTCACTTCCCCATTAAGCACCGGATTTTAAACTTCTTGTATGGGCTTTTGTTGAACCAAAATAGCTGCTGTTTGTCTGTTACTTCTTTTCCCCCTTCCTGATTTGTACTCATGTCTTATTCTCTCTGCTGTAACATCTTTATTATTTCTCTCAAAGAATGGAAGATAAAGGAGAAGTGAAATGTATTAAATTTTCACTTGGGAACAAGATTCTAGCTGTACAGAGAACACCAAAGGTTGTGGTAAGGAAAGGTTTTAACAATTTTTTTTTTTTTTTAAATGTAAAGGCTTAGGATTGAAAGGAAATAGACTTTTGTCAGTGTATGATAATGTTGTTAAATGTTTTTTTTTCTGCAGGATTTCATTAATTTCATTCCTGACCTGCCCCAAACAGAATACTCTCAAGAATGCAAGGTAATGATTGGAATTGAAATTTGTACACTTTGAATCTTAAGATACAATTTCCTGCCTATGTAAACAGTATCTTTCTTTTTTTTGTTTTCTCTGTTTTCTCTGTAGACTAAAAATGCCAACATCCTGAGTTTCTGCTGGATCACTGCTAATGAGATAGTATTTATTACTGACCAGGGCATTGAATTTTATCAGGTAAGTACAGTACATGCTACTGTAGCAAAAACAAAGTTGCTGGAAAAGCTCAGCAAGTCTGCCACCATCTGTGAAGAGTTAACATTTCAGGTCCGGTGACCCTTCCTCAGAACAGAACAGTACAGTACATGTGACTGTAGACCCAGAGTGAAGGCTAAACAGGTTGGGACTCTACTCTGGAGTTTAGAAGAATGAGAGGTGAGCTCATTGAAACGTAGAGAATTCTTAAGGGGCTTGACAGACAGGGTAAATGCTGAGAGGATGTTTCCCCTCCTAAGAGAGTGTATAATCTCAGAATAAAGTGCCACTTTGGGACCTGATGTGGAGGAACTTCTCCCAGAAGGTTGAGAGTCTTTGGAATTCCTTGCCACATGGAGCTGTTGCGGCAGAGTCCTTGTCTTTATTTAAGGTTGAAATAGATTCTTGATCAGTCGGGGAATCGAGGATTACAGGGAAAATGCAGGAAAGTCGATGTGCGGGATGTTGCTTCAGCCATGATCACAATGAATGGCAGAGTAGTCTCGAGGGGCTGAATGATCATAAGAAATAGGAACAGAAGACGGTCTTAATATGAATTAACCGCCCTCTGAAATGGGCTTAGCAAGCACTTAGTTCAGCGACAATTTAGGATGTGCAATAATTGCCGACCTTACCGGTGACACCCATGTCTCAAAAAAGTATAAAGATAAAGAGCACTGCAAGTTCTAAGAGCAAAATATTGCAGGTGCTGAAAATCTGAAATAAAGAGGTAAGGAAATACCCAGCAATTCGGGCAGCCTGTGTGGAGAAACAGAGAGAAAGTTAACATTTCAGGTCTGTAACTTTTCGTTTAGAACTAGGAGAAGTTAGAAATTTAATTAGGTCATATTGGGAACATGGGAACAGATACCAGAGAGAGAGTCTGAGATAGGATGAAAATCAGGAGAGATTAAATAACATAGATTGAGTTAATCATTCAGGGCCAAAAGGAGTGAGAGTGGGGCAAGAAAATTTAATATGGAGTGAGCCTGGAGTAGATGACAAGGTTAAAACTAAAACATAAAAGAATAGGAAACAAACTGGGTGCAGAGATTACAGTCTGAAGTTATTAAATTCTGTTGAGTCCAGAAGACTGTAAAATATCCAGTTCAAAAGATAAGGCTATGTTTCTCAAGCAAGCTTGCATTGTGTTTCACTAGAATGCTGTGGCATGGCAGGGCAGGGGAAGAACAGACAGAAGTTGTAAACTGAACATTAAAATAACAAGCACCTGGAAGCTCAGGATCCTGACTGAATGAATGAAAACGTTTCACTAGGCAGTCACCCAGTCTGCCTTTGGTCTCCATTGTAGAGGAGACCACATTATGAGCAGCAAATACAGCAGTCCAGATTGAAAGCAGTACAAGAAAATAATTGTTTGAGACCTTGGATATTGAGGGATGAGGTGGTGAAAGGTCAGATGTTAATATATTAACAATTAAGAGCATTTGTACAGAAAACAAACTTGAATGAGAGAAATAGTCAATGGCAAATGAATGCGTTGTAAATGGTTTAGAAGATCAAGTGAGGACGAATTTTTATGAAGTTCAGGTTAGATTAGAAACTTTATCGACAACAGTCATGTATTGAATGGTGGAACAGGCCTGAAGGGACAGGAATAGGCCATTTCACCCTATCTCCCCATGAGGCCTTTCCAGTTCACTGACTAGCTTTGAGTGCAGTTCAGGGTGAAGTCTCACTGCCTTGTAACATTGTTGACCAGTGATTGATTTAATTTTCTCTTAGTTGTTTGAATATATCCAAAGGTATAAATAATTTACAAAGGCTTTAATTCTGCAATAATCGTGTGGAAAGGTTCTTTTCTTCCAGTTACACAGGAGTAACACGTTCTATTTCACTAATGAGAGTAGGAACACTCTTTGAATCTTTAGCGCTTTCTTCTTGTACCACTAAGACTGTGAGGACTAGCCTAACAGAAATAAAACAAGTAACTGTTGTAAGTTTAAAAAAAGAGCAAGGCTGTATGGTGTCACTGGACGTATGGCGGTCCTGATTCACAAAGGTCTCACTTAGAAATGCTCATACTTACGATCGTGATCTCGTACAGGGGTGTAATTTTTTTAAAGATCCAACATACAACCCTTTCCTGTGCTTAAGAACATCTCCTTTTATATTGTCCTACATTATGTTCGTAGAATCTTAGAATTCCTACAGTGTGGAAACAGGCCATTCTGCCTAACAAGTCCATACTGACCTTCTGAAGAACATCCCAACCAGACCCAACCCCCTACCTTTTCCCTGTAACCCTGCATTTCCCATGGCTAATTCACCTAACTTACACATCTTTGGACTGTGGGAGGAAACTGGAATACCTGGTGGAAACCCATGCAGACACGGGGAGAATGTGCAAACTCCACACAGATGGTCGCCAAAGGGTGGAATCGAACTTAGGTCCCTGGCGCTGTGAGGCAACAGTGCTAACCACTGAGCCACCATGCTGCCCACAGTGTTCTGCTGATAATGTGGTCTCCCCTACAATGGAGAGACCAAAGGCAGACTGAGTGGCTGCCTAGTGAAACGCTTTCATTCAGTCAGGATCCTGAGCTTCCAGAACGGGACCCTCGCAACCCTCGCAACCCGGGGACTATGGTAATTAGGAAAATGCTTTTTGATCCAAATCTCTAGTCCAGCATCTGCAAACTGAATACAAAATGCTGAAATTCACAGTTACACCTTTTGGAATGTGGCCTCAGCTGCTGCTGTTTTTGTTGTTCCTCAGGTATTACCTGACAAGCGTAGTTTAAAGCTGCTGAAAAATCAGAGCATTAATGTTAACTGGTGTATGTACTCACCAGAAACTGCTGTTCTCCTCCTGTCTACCACAGTACATGGGAATGTTCTCCAACCATTTTATTTCAGGGTAAGTTAGACTTCTTTCTTTGTCACTACCTGCAACTTGTGCATATTTCTTTTGATCCAAAAATAAAGTACACAGAAGCCCTAGATAATGTGTAAAAATAAATTTAGCAATAACAGGTCTGCGAGTTGTGGGGGAGGGGGAGGGGGACAAGTTTGTGGCAGGTATACCTATGGGGAAACATTTTCAGATTGTTGCACTTTTGCCTCAAAGAGAAGACCAAGTGGCAAGATGAAAGATTTTAAAATGATAACAGCATTCAGTAATGTAGGTTCTTAATTCCAGATTTTTTTTATTATATTCAAAGCCTGCAACAGCAGATGGTTGCATCTGAATTCAATAAAAAATTTCTGTAATTAAGAATGTACTGATGACCATGAAACCACTACCGATTATCGGAAAAACCCATCTGGTTCAGAAATGTCCTTTAGAAGCTGCTGTCCTTACCTGGTCTGGCCTACATGTGACTCCAGACCCACAACACTGTGGTTGACTCTCAACTGCCCTCTGAAGTAGCCCAGCAAGCCACTCTCAGTTGTATCAATCACTATGAAGTCTCGTGAAACTGGAGGAACCATCTGGCATTGCTTTTTCTGGTGCTTGGGTCAATGGCAGAAACAGCCCTGTTGACCCTGCAAAGTCCTCCTTACTAACATTTGGGAATTAATACCCAAATTGGGAGAGCTGTTTCACAGACTAGTTAAGTAACAACCTGACATTGTCTGTAAGGTATGATTCTGTGAGATTGACTATGTCCCAGACACCACCATCACCATCCTTGGATATGTCCTGTCCCACTGGCAGGACAGACCCAGCAGAGGGGGTGGTACAGTGCTATACAATTGGGAGGGAGTTGCCCTGGGAGTCCTTAACATTGACTTCAGACCCCATGAAGTCTGGCTTCAGGTTAAACTTGGGCATGGTAGCCTCCTGCAGATTCCCACGTAACGTCCTCCCTCAGCTGATGAATCAGTACTTTTCTGTTTTGAACAAAACTTGGAGGAAGTACTAAGGGTGCAAAATGCACTCTGGGTGGGGGATTTCAGTGCCCACCAGCAAGTGTGGCTTAGCAGCAGCACTACTGATTGAGCTGGTTGGGTCCTAAAGGACTTTGCCACAGACAGAGTATCGCAGCTGGTGGTGATGGAACCAATGAGATGCAGACTTGACCTCATTCTTTCCAATCTGCTGACTGTCGATGCATCTGTCCACAACAGTATTGGTAAGAGTTACCACTGCACGGTCCTTGTGGAGACAAAGTCCCACCTTCACATTGAGAAAAGCCTCCATCGTGCTGTGTGGCACTATCACCATGTTAAATGGGACAGACTTCGGACAGATCTAGCAACTCAAGACTGGGCATCCATGAGGTGCTGTGGATCATCAACAGAATTATATTCCAGCAATTTTATGCAAACTTGTGGCCCGGCATATCCCCCACTCAACCATTACCATCAAGCCAGTGGATCAACCCTCATTCAATGAAGGAGGGCATGCCACGAGCAGCACCAGGCATACCTGAAGATGAGGTGTCAGCCTTGTGAAGCTACCAAACAGGACTACTTGCACGCCAAACAGCAAAAGCAGCAAGTGATAGACCGAGGTGGAGGAGGAAGCTTCACAAATATCCTCATTCTCTATGATGGAAGAGCGCAGCACATCAGTGTAAAAGATAAGGCTGAAGCATTCATAGTAATCTTCAACCAGAAGTGCTGAGTGGATAATCCATCTCGATTCTCCTTCCAGTGGTCCCCAGCATTACAGATATAGTCTTCAGCCAATCCGATTCACTCCACATGAAACGGTTGGAATCACTAGATATTGCAAAGGTTATGGGCCCTGACAACTTCCTGCAATAGTACTAGAGACTAGTGCTCCAGGACTTGCTGCTCCCCTAGCCAAGCTTTTCCAGTACAATTACAACACTAGTATTTACCTGACAATGTAGAAAACTGCCCAAGTATGTCCCATACACAAAAAGCAGGATAAATCCAACTTGCCACTTGCTGCCCCATCAGTCTAATCTCGATAATCAGTAAAATAATAGAAAGTGTCATCAACAGCTCTGTCAAGCAGCACCTGCTCGGCAATAACCTGCTCAGTGACGCCCAGTTTGTGTTCCGCCAGGGCCACTCAGCTCCTGATCTCATTACAGCTTTGGTTCAAACATGGACAAAAGAGCTGAATTCCAGAAGTGAGGTGAGAGTGACAGCCCTTGACATGAAGGCTGCATTCAATTGAGTGTGGCATCAAGGAGCCCTAGCAAAACTGGAATCGATGGATATCTGGTGCGGGGTGGAATTGTCCGCTGACTGGAGTCACACCTGACACATAGGAAGATGGTCGTAGTTTTTGGAGGAGAGTCATTTCAGCTCCAGGTCATCTCTGCAGGAGTTCCTCGGGCTAGTGTCCTAGATCCAACCATCTTCAGCTGCTTCATCACTGACTCCAACATAAGGCCAGAAGTGGTGATGTTTGCAGATGATTGCTTAATGTTCAACGCCATTCGTGACTCCTCAGATACTGAAGCAGTTCGTGTTCAAATGCAACAAGATCTGGACAATATCCAGGCTTGGGCTGACAAGTGACAAGTAATTAATTTGCACCATACAAATGCCAGGCTATGACCATCACCAATAAGACAGTATAATCACTGCCCATTGACACTCAATGGTGTTATCATCACTGAAACTCCCATTATCAACATCCTTGGGGTTACCATTAACTACAACCTCAACTAGACTTGCCATATTAACACAGTGGCTACAAGAGCAGGTCAGAGGCCAGGAATACGGCAGCAAGTAACTCCCCTCCTGACTCCCTGTAGTCTGTCTACCACCTACAAGGCACAAATAAGGAGTGTGATAGAATATTCCCCTCTTGCATGGATGGGTGCAGCTCCCACAACACTGAAGAAACTTGATACAATCCAGGACAAAGCGGCTCTCTTAATTGTCACTAGAACCATGAGCATCCACTCCCTCCACCACTGACACTCCGTACCAGCAGTGTGCACCATCTACAAGATGCACTGCAGAAATTCACCAAAGATCCTCAGACAGCAGCTTCCAAACTCACAACCACTTCCATCTAGAAGGACAGGGGCAGCAGATACATGGGACCACCACCCCCTGCAAGTTCTCTCTGAGCCACTCATCATCCTGACTTGGAAATAGATCACTTCAATGGGTGAAAATCCTAGAATTCCCTCCCTAAGGTCATTTCGTGGGTCAACCCACAGAGTGTGGACTGCAGTGATTCAAGAAGGCAGCTCACTACCACCTTCTCAAGAGCAATTCAGGATGGGCAATAATGCTACCCAGTCAATGATCCCCACATTTGATGAGTGAATTTAAAAACAAAAGTAGAAAGATAGTTTCAGTTTGTAAGGTGATCAATTGTAGGGATCCTCAAATCTAAAACAGTCAGGTTCTTCTTTACCCAGAGAATGGTGAGAATGTTATGCTCACCACAGCAAGAAATGCTGAGTCCAATTGCCTTAAAGTATTAAAGGGTTAATACATAAGGAAGAAAGGAATAGAACAGTATATCGATGGAGTTTGAAGAAGGTGGGTAGGAAGAGGCTTGTGGAAGGATACACCAGTGTTGACCTTTTGGACTGAATAAGCTGTTTCTATGCTGTGTATATGTTTTAATACTTCTCTGCACTTTCAAACAGCTTTGAAGTATCGTAGAATATTATGGCCCAAGTTTCCACCTCTGTGGCAGATGTCCCTGAAAATCAGAAGCCATGACCCTGAAAGCATCACTTATGATTTTTGGAGACCAGTTAAAGATGGCCCAGGCTTCATGCGTACACCTGTATATTGGCTAGCCACTTAAATGGTCAGCTGTTTTCACCTAAATCTTGTTTTAGTATTCCTGCTGTCTGGAACACAGTACGCAGAGCAGGTTTGTTTCAGTGAAGTCTGTGTACACCTATCCTCAGCAGTGGTACCCCTCTGTCAACGGTCCCAGTTCACATGGAGGTAGAGACAATGATACAGAGCCCTTAATGGTGCTTGGGTGACTTTTGGAATTGTTAAAAGTGGACAACAATGTTCTTTTTAAAAGTATATAAACCCATTTGAAAGGTTAAAAGAGTTGTCAGAGAACTTAGAAGACGACTTGAATGTTCAATCTGAGTTGTTTTTTGTTAAAATATGCAATGCAATTATCAATAGACATGACTTTATTCGATGTCACCATGTCTCCTGCGGTTTACTGAATATTATATGAGTGGGAATAGGTGGTAATTGGAGAGGTGTAGGTTGGCATAAGGAGTATGGAGAAACATGGGAATGGGAACAGGGGCATAGAGGTGCTACAGGAGAACATGGTAGGTAGTTGAAGTAGTCATAAAGTCACAAAGCACAGAAAAGACCCTTCCGTTTATTGGCTGTGCGCCAACCTGTCTACACTAACTCAACTTTCCAATTCCCAATCTTTCAAACTGTCCTAGTTAATTTTTTTTTAGTTGTTTCTTTTGTGGAATAAAGCCAAATCTGCAGCATTGCTTACTCGTGATGGTATTTCACTGAAACTTAAAATAAATAATCTATCAAGCCAGATTTCATTCTGGGGTCTCATATATCCAGAAGTAACACAGGTAACAGAACAACAAAGGACACAATGGACCAGACGGCCGAAGCTTAGTCGTAGAGTTTTAGGAAATGTTCTAAAGGAGGAAAGTGAGGTAAATGGGAGGAGATGTTTAAGGAGGAAGTACCAGAACTTGGGACCTGGGCAGTTGACAGCATAACCACCAGTGGTGGAGTGATTATGATTTGGGACTCACAAGAGGCCACAACTAGATGAGTGCAGAATCTTGGAGCACTCTGGGAATGGAAGAAGTTAGAGATAGGAAGGGGTGTGAAACCTTGGAGGATTTGAAAACAAGGATGAGAATTTTTAAAGTGAAAACGTTTTGATCAGGAGCTGTTGTCGTACAATGGTTTACCTATTTAGAAACCAATCCATATGTCCTAATGAACAGTTGCAGATGTGTTTTGAGTTTCAAAACAATTTGATTTCACTTTTCCAGAGTGGAACGATGTCCAAAATGCCAAAGTTTGAAATTGAATTACCAGCCTCTCCTAAATCTGCAAACCTCAGCCTTTCTGATATTATAATGGCCACTATGTAAGTAAGAAACTTCTCTCTGACTGCTAATCACTAATTGGTGTTTACCTTTCGTGCTTCAGAAGAGCATCTCTAACACTGCTACCAGGCCCCGACGGTGCTACTTCATGGAATTGGTTTAAAAGGACTTTCAGCTCTATTTGGTCCGGACTGTTCAGTTATTCCCATGTTCCAGGGATATGATAAAGCTAACCAATCTCTTCTGCTATTAATTTACTGTTACCCTGTTTCCCCAAGATGTCTGTCAAATCCAACCAGAGTTCTCTAGTAACTGAGCTGCTTGCACTCAGACCGCTGAACCTGGTCTCTTTGACAAAAAGGTGGCATTCCTAGGTGTTTAAACTGAAGCATACACAAGTTATGTAAGAACTATTTGGATTCCACTGAAGAATGCTATTTTTTTAACTATGTAGCAAATTGAAGTGGTTTTTGAGAATTGAAGTAAATTGTTAAAAGCCTTCCTTCTGAGCTCTGAGCAGGCCTGACACAGACTGACTCCCAAGGACTTGCCAAATGACTGAGACGGCAATGAGAGGAGGAAGTTCTGTTTCTATCAAGATTGCTGACCTCCAGTGACTGATATAGTCCTTGATTAATAGACTACTTAAGAAGAGGATGGTTAACTGGTAATAATTCGGTTTATAAAAAGAAAAATGTGAAACATAGAAAGTTAAGTAACAAATTTGTGGAACTTATGGGAAACTTTAGGTCATTTCTGACTGAAGTAGAGTCCCTTTTACCCATTATTGGTAGTGGGAGGGGTTGGGATATAGTTTAAAAGGACAGTTTGCTTTATTCTCCACTTGCTTTTGATTTTTATCTGGATATTTTAGCATGTTACAGTTATTAGACAAGAAGTGATTAAGAGGCTGTTCAGAAATCCGACCAACTGTCCTCTTCAGTTAGTCGGCATCAATCATTCCTGCCATGTGCCTGACACAGAAGTTTACTGTATCTCCTAACGGCAGGATTAATTTTAAGACTGGAATACTAATTTTTTAAATTTTACTTTTACACAAGATATGGACAACTTTATGTACTTTATCTGAAGCACCAACCAAGAACTCCAAATAATCCAGGGGCAGAAGTGATCTTGTACTATTTACCCAGGTAAGACTGGCTAATTCAGATCCCATTTAGTCTGCGTATTACACTTTTAAGATGAATTTCCTAAATATTTACTGCATTTTAATTGCAGGGAAGGTCAGTGTAAGAAAATGCACATATTAAAACTAAATACCACGGGAAAATTTGCCTTGAACGTTGTTGATAACTTGGTTGTGGTGCATCACCAAAGTTCTCAGGTAAAGAATTTAACTAAAGGCTTTTTCTTGCTGTTCAGTGCTGAAGGGTAAAAATCTCAAATGAGGTCTCTCTCACGCTGTCTCGCTCTCGCCCTGCATGTGTCTCAGTCTACAGGCATGGAGCAGGAGTAGGCTGTTCAGCCGCTGTGCCTGTTCCATTATTCGATACGATTGTGGCTGATCTAATTCACATTTCTGTCTGCTTCTGAAAATCTTTCAATCCATTCCTTAACAAGAAACAATCTACCTCTGCCTTAAAAATGGTCAAGGAGCCTGCTTGCAACTTTTTTCCTGAAGAGGTTTTGGAAAGATTCGCAGTCCTCTGAGGGCAGTGGGGGGAAAGCACCTCATTTCTGTTTTAAGTGGATGGACCTGATGTTTAAAGAGAGACCCCTAATTCTAGCTTTTACCATAACAGAAATCAGGTTCTGCGCAGCTCACTATCAGATTCTCTCTATCTCATGTGCAATCTGTCTTGCATGGCCTCTTGCGCTATCCTCCCTCTGTCTCTTGCTGTGCCAGGCTTTCCAATGGCAATTATGTTTCCAAATCAGGATGGTTTGGATGTTTTTGTCTTGATGTTTGGAAGTGACGTAGTCGTAAGCCCTTTGGGAAGCAGTTGATCTCTCGATTGGAGTCACTGTAGGAGAAAGTGGGAAGAAATTGTCTGCCCACCGTTTGACCCTGCAATTTCTTTAATTTTTTCAGACATCAATGCTCTTTGATATAAAACTGCGAGCAGAATTTGATGGAGCTGTCACCATTCATCATCAAGTGCTTCCAGCTTTATCTATTCACCCATGCAAGATTCCTCGGGCAGGTGAGTATATTCAGAATAACCTTAAATACAGATGCTAGTTTACATACTTTGCTAGTGATTTGCTTGACATTGAGCATAGTTTCAGTTGTCAATTAAAATAGATTTAATATTGAAAATAAATTCTGTCAGTCTATCTCCCTTTTCCTGTTTAGCACCATCCTGTGAGATTTCCCGATGTAATGAGGATCTAGAGAAGCAATGGGATTGTCAAAACTACTCTCCATATACTCCTCAGTTCCCGAGGGGAAGGTCAGCAGGATTTCCCTTGCTCCAATGACCTCTGTTACCTTGTGCACGTGTGTTCCTTGTATGGGGAACATGTGCTTTGAGTCAGCTTGGGGCCTTCTGAAAGTAGCTCATTAACACCTGAGTAACCTGCTTACATGTACTGCCTACAATCTCCCATATAAAGTGGTCACTTTGGGGAGGTAACAGAGACTACTGTTTCCTCTGTCTGAAGCATCCTCCTATTCAGCTTCTTTGCATCTTTTCACTACCTATACCCTGCCATTGGCAGCCGTGCCCTTAGCTCTGGAATTTCCTCCCGAATTCTACGTCTCTCTCCTCTTTTAAGCTGCTCTTTAAAACTTACCTCTTTTTGATCTAGCCTTTGTTCTCCATTCCTAATGTGTGGCTTCGTATCAAATTCTGTTTGATAAAACTCCTGTGGAGTTAAATCCTAATTTAGAAACTACATCTCTTTCGGTGTTTGTTGTATTCATGCAATATTGTATTAATGTCTTAATTCTTTGTCCAGGTCCATCAGCTGTAACAGCACAAAGCCCTGTCTCATGTGAACTTTGTATCCTTCAGAGTGAATCATATGCCAACAGCTAAAATTACATTCTTGTGAATTTCTGACCGCATTAAAATGAGCAAAATTCCACCAGTGTGGTAATCTATTCGAGAGTCGGGCAGCATCTGTGGAGAGGATAACAGTTAACATTTTTGTACCAATTCATCAGAAGACAATAAGTCAGAGACAACTTCTCCTCGGAGCTGGGAGGGTGGGGAAGGGAAAGCCCATGATTGGAGAAGTAGGAGGATTAGACAGGGAGTGAGAATCTCCTGGAAGCTGAGGGGAAGTCTTTTGTTAAGAAGCCAGATGGGATGAAGGATGAAGTCAAACAGCAGATCAGGACAATTCTTAAAGTGAGTTGGTGCTGTAGAAAACAGAGGACTGTCCATGTGGGGTGCTTACATTTGTTCACAGCATCTGGCTACGCCATCATTTATTGCTATCCTTCATTGCTTAGAGGGCAATTAAGAGTCAGCCACATTGCTGTGGGTCTGGAGTCACACGTAGGCCAGACTGGGTAAGGATGGCAGACTTCCTTCCCTGAAGGACATCAGTGAACCTGATGGATTTTTTTATGACAATCAACAGTGGTTTCATGGTTATCTTTAGACTAGCTTTAGATTCCAGATTTTATTGAATTTTATTGGTATTCAAACCAATGTTCCCAGAACATTTAACCTGGGTTCTGGATGAATAGGTCACTGATGTTATCACTAAACCATAGACCTGGCTTGTGCATGGTGTTAAGTGTGGATCTCAGGAAGTAGGAATAGTTATAGGGCCTGGGACGGAGAGGCCTGGGCCAGAAGCTGCACTGTGGCCAGTGATTCCTGCTCCTGCCCCTAGATAGTGACACGGTCTTTATATATTTGGGCTACTAATCTAGAGGCCTAGGTAATGATCAGGGGCCAGTGTTCAAATCTTGTCACAACATCTTAGGGAATTTAAACTCCATTCTTAAAATTATTTTAGGAAGTTTGTGCTGTACTGTTGTAGGAAGCCATCTGGTTCATTAGGGAAGGAAATCTGCTGAACTAAGTGTGACTCCCAGAGCCACAGCAATATTGAATTTTAACTTGTCTCTCAAATGGTCTAGTAAGCCACTCGGCTGTTTCCAAAGAAACAGCTCTCCACCACCACCACAAGGGGCACCTTGGGGTGTGCAATGCCTGAACTTGTTAACTTAATAAAATGGCTGGAACTCATGGAGATAATTATGATCATGGGTGGAAAATGAAGTGGAATCCATGTGGAACCTAGAGATGGTTGCTGTGAGAGTTAGTTTTAATGGACATGTGGTTGAACACAAGGAGAGAAACCTTTGCAAACTCTTTTGGGTGAGCTGTAAAACTGGGGCCAGCCTGCCCACTCAGAGGGACATAAGACAAGGACAATTTGGACATAAGACATTTGGACAAAGTGCTGGAGAGTTGCTCATTGTTTCCTGGTGAGTGCTGATCCTTCAGGCCAGCATTAAAACAGAATGTATGGTCACTGTCATGTTGCTCTTTGCGGGTGCATGCTGTGTACAAATTCACTGTTGTGCTTCCTACAACACAGTAAGTGATAGTACTTCATCGGCTATAAAGTGCTTTGAGTCGCACAATGACTGTGAAAAATGTGATGTATATTTCAGCTTGTCTTTCTTTAAAATCGAGTACAAATAAATTCTGTTTAAAAAAAAAAACCCTTGTCTTGTTGATACCTTTTGAGGTTTCTTTAACTTTTAGATTCTTCCTCCTGGACTGTGTTTCAACCTGACATCATAATCAATGCAAGTGAAGGTGAGTGAATTCTAGGAGTTTCTTCATATTTGTATTGTGGGCTTTTATAAGTTTACAATATGTCAATAGAGTGGTTTGCAACAGTCTCTAACTCAGCCTGAAAATTGTTTGTGTAGACAGTGATCACAAAGTCAGTGTTCCCGTGTAAATCTAGAGCATTGGAGTGCAGTGCCTTATTCGAGGGGGATGGTTTATTCCTCCTTCTTTTCTCCCTCATTCCTTTAGCCTTGTGTCCTTCCCTGTTATTGTGTAAGTCTTCTAGGAACAAGGATAGAGGCGATGGGAAGAATTTTGTTTTTTAAAACAGTCTGCTATTACTATTTGGAAAGTGCTGCCTGAAAATTTGATGGCAGATGCAAAAGAAACTGTCAGAAAGAAATTTGGTGAGCACTTGAAAGGGAAACCTTGACAGAGTGATAGGGAGTTGGACTAACACTTCTTACAAAGAGTTGGCACAGCCATGATGGGCTGAATAGCTTCCTGTACTGTAAGATTCTGTGAACAGTCTCAAAATGGCTTTTTTGATTTTAAACACTGGAGAGAGAGTTGACTTCTTTTTAGAGAGAACCTGACCAAAATTATTCAACTGTTTCCCTTTTTAATCCTCCTTACATTGACTAGAAAAGGAGCTGTCTTGTTCTCAGTTGCTGCAACTACATTGTTTGCCAAGTTAAATATTCATTTTACAATTCACTGTTTCACTCTTTCCCAAGCAGCAGATGAATAGTTGCCTTGCCCATTCATAAACACAGGGATTTAAAGTAAGCGGTGGGTGGGGGTTGAGATCTCAAAGTGGTCCAACTGATCCATACCAGCAATCATCCTTCACAAGAGTCTTTTATAAAACTGAGCTCATAGGGTGTGGGCATTGCTGGTTGGGACAGCATTTATTGCTGAACCCTAATTGTTCTTCATCTTGATGAGCTACCTTCTCGAACTGCTGCCTTTCTTGGGGTGTAGAGACACTGCAACGCCAGGAACTGCAACCATTTTCCTGAGTGCCAGATATGACTGTAAACAGCAGAGAGCTTTCATCCTGATACCCATTGATTCCAGTTTTGCTAGGACACCTTGATGCCATACTCAGTAAAGTGTGGCCTTGATGTCAAGGGCTGTCACTCTTCCCCTCACTCTGGAATTCAGTCTTTTGTTCATGTTTGAACCAAGGTTATAATGAGGTCAGGAGCTGAGTGGCCCTGGCGGAACCCAACTGGGTGTCACTGAGCAAGTTATTGCTGAGCAGGTGCTGTTTGATAGCACTACTGATGAGACCTTCCATTAAGTTACTGATCAATGAGAGTAGACTGATGGGGCAGTAATTGGTGGGGTTGGATTTGTCCTGCTTTTTGTGTACAGGCCATATTTAGGCATTTTCCATCTTTGTCAGGAGATGCCAGTGTTGTAACTGTACTGGAAGAGCTTATGACTAGGGGAGTGGCAGGTTCTAGAGTATGTTGCTAGCCCTAAGTTTGGTTCTCTTCCCTCAAGTGGACATTCCTCTTTGTCTGTCCTGTCAAATTGTTTGTGATTTAAAAAAAAAAAAAATTCAGTTCCCTGTTGGCCGTTCTTCTTTAGAGGAAAGAGCCATGGTGTATTCAGTCTTTTGATGTCTATACTCTCTTAATCCTGGTAGTATCTTTGAAATCTTTATTTGCTTCTTCCCCCACTATCTCTCCTTTTTATAATATGGAAACCGCTACTGAGTGGATTGTTGTGTGAGGAGCTAGCATCAATTCAATGGTCCAAATGGCCACCTTCTGGACTATAAATTACTCTGACTTCAATATCTTCATAACTTTGAATCTCTTTAAATCTCCTTTTTATCCTTGCAGTGCATCTCCTGTGCACCATTTTTGACATCCTTCCTAAAGTGTGAAGATTGGACCCAGTATTCCAGCTGAGACTTGAGCAGTTTTTATAGAGGTTTATTGTAACTTTGTCCTTGCTGCAGCTTTTATATTGACTGGGTTCTCTGATTGTGGATAGGTTACCTGTGGTGTCTCCAGATAAAGCTGCAGCCCATTGTCCACATGCTTCAAGACAAGGGACGGCTAATGGATTTCCTCCTACAGAGGAAGGATTGTAAAATGGTCATCTTGTCAGTGTGTTGTCAGAGTGAGTATCTTCCTGCACTCGGGATGAATCATAACCATTTGTCTGGAATCCATGTGAAAAATAAATTAATTTTTAAGTGAGCCTTTAGTATTTTGTGCAGAATGTCCTCCTTTATTTTTTATTGTAGTCACTGGTGTCAGTTTCTGTTTTGCAAGACAGTGAGTAATATAACTTTAACAATGTGATACCAGAAATTCCTCCTGATGGATCACAAAGTTTTATAATATGTACTCTGTCTGTCTGATAGTAGACATAGGGAATTAGAGGGTTAAGTTATGAGCACAGGTTGCACAGGCTTAAGTTCCAGGAGTATTGATGATCTAAAAACTGAACGAACTGCGGATGCTGTAAATCAGGAACAAAGACAAAGTTGCTGGAAATGCTCAGCAGGTCTGGCAGCATCTGTGAAGGAAAAAACAGAGTTAACGTTTCGGGTTTGGTGACCCTTGCTGATCTACTTGAGGTGTTTAAAATAATTTGAAGAATTCAATAAATTCAGTGTACAGAAACTACTTCCCCTGGGGGAGCTCACAGGGAGGGGGTGATGCTGCAGAAATCTCCCAAAACAAGGAGCCAGAACCTTAAAGTTCATGCTCGGCCATTTGGGAGATTGTGAAGGAGTTCGTTGGTACAAAGTGAAAGTCTGGAATTCTTCCCCTGGCAAAAAGAGGCTGGAAGTTAATTAACAATTTCTAGATGGAGATTGGTGAATCTTTGTTGGAACCAAGGCAGGTGCAGATCAGACAAGATCTAATTAGGGCTCTTGTGGTGCTGTGGTAATGTCCCTACCTCTGGACCAGAAGGCCTGGATTCAGATCACATTTGCTCATTGAATGGCAGAAAAGCTGAATGGTCTCCTCCTGTTCTTCTGTTCTGAGACCGTAAGATATTGGAGCAGAATTGGGTGATTTGGCCCATCAAGTCTTCTCTGCCATTCAATCATGGCTGATATTTTTTGTCAACCCCAATCTCCTGCCTTCTCTCCATTACGCTTGATCCTCTTACTAATCAAAAACCTATCTATCTCTGTCTTAAATACACTCAATGACTTGGCTTCCACAACCTTCTGCGGCAATGTGTTCGACAGATTAACCACCCTCTGGCTAAAGAAATTCCTCCTCCTCCTCACGGTTCTATAAAGTCATCCCTTTATTCTTGAGAGTGTGCCCTTTGGTCCTAGCCTCTCCTACTTGTAGAAACATCATCTCCACATCCACTCTGCCCAGGCCTCTCGGTATTCTGTAAGTTTCAATCAGATCAACCCTAATTTTTCTAAACTTCAAGTGCAGACTCAAAGTTCTCAACTGCTCCTCATATGGCAAGCAAATAAAAACTGAAAGAACTACAGATGCTGGAAATCAGAAACAAAAACCAGAAGTTGCTGGAAAAGCTCAGCAGGTCTGCCAGCACCTGTGGAGAGAAATCAAAATTAACGTTTCGGGTCTGGTGACTCTGTTCTGAGGAAGGGTCACTGGACCCGAAATGTTAGCTCTGGTTTTTCTCCACAAATGCTGCCAGGCCTGCTGAGATTTCACAGCAGTTTCAATTTTTGTTCCTTTTTTTTCATTCATGCACTGGATATGGGTGTTGCTGGCTAAGCAGCATTTATTGCCCGTCCCTAATTGCCCAGAGGGCAGTTAAGAATCAGCTGTATTGCTGTGGGTCTGGAGTTGCATGTAGGCCAGACCAGGTAAGGATGGCAGTTTCTTTCCCTAAAGGACACTAGTGAACCAGATGGGTTTTTCCGATAATTGGTAATGTATTCATGGTAATCGTTAGACTCTTAATTCCAGATTTTTTTTTAAAATTCAAATTCCTCCATTTGTTGTGGTGGGATTCGAACTTGGGTCCCTAGAACATTACCTGGGTCTCTGGATTAACAGTCCAGCGATTTAATGGCACTAGACCATTGCCTCCCCCATGACAAGCCCTTCATCCCCAGTGTCATTCTTTTAAACCTCCTCTGGAACCCCTCCAAGCCAGCACAATCCTCCTTGGATAAGGGGCCCAAAACTGCTAACAATATTCCAGATGTGGTCTGACTAAATCCTTATACACCTTCAGTAGTACATCCTTGTTCTTGTATTCTAGCCCTCTTGAAATGAATGCCAATGTTACATTCCCAGATGAGCCCAGATTTTGGGGCTGCACAGTAGCTTAGTGGTTAGCACTGCTGCCTCACAGCACCAGGAACCCGGGTTTGATTCCACTTTTGGGTGACTGTCTGTGTGGAGTTTGCACGTTCTCCCCGTGTCTGCGTGGGTTTCCTCCAGACGCTCCGGTTTCCTCCCACAGTCCAAAGATGTGGAGGCTCGGTGGATTGGCCATGTTAAATTGCCCGTAGTGTCCAGGGATGTGTAAATTAGGTGCGTTATGGGGGATGGATCTGGGTGGGATGCTCTGAGGGTCAGCGTGGACTTGTTGGGCCGAAGGGCCTGTTTCTACACTGTAGGGATTCTATGATTTGCTTTCCTAGCTGCCAACTAAACCTGCAAATTAACCTTGAGAATCCTGAACTACAGCTCCCAAGTCCCTTTCGTGCTTCAGATTTCTGAAGCCTTTCCCATTTAGAAAATAGTCTATGCCTCTGTTCTACCAAAGTGCATAACCCCTCACTTTCCCACATTGTATTTAATCCGCCACTTCTTTGCCCACGCTCCTAGCCTGTCCAAATCCTTCTGCAGCCTCCCTGTTTCCTCAATGCTAACTGTCTCTCCACCTATCTTTTGTTTTCTGCAAACTTAGCAACAATACCCTCCGTTTCTTCAACTAGATTGTTAATATATAACATGAATAGTTGTGGTTCCAACACTGACCCCTGTGGAACTCTGCTAATCACCAGATGCCATCTTAAAAAGTACCTCTTTATCCCTACTCTTTGCTTTTTGCCAGTCAGCTAATCCGAAATCCATACAATATCTTGCCTCTAACACTCTGGACTCTTGTCTTGTTTCGCAGCCTCCTGTGCGGCAACTTGTCAAAGGCCTTCTGGAAATCCAAATAGATCATGTCCACTGGCTGTCTTTTTTTGTCCAACTTGCAAAGGAATTTGATAATTTTTGTGTATCAATACATAGAGGTTGCAGTAACCCTGTTGCATTTCTTTTGTTTTAGTGTTGAGTGCAGCAGAGCGTGGTAGCCTGCCGGTCATTGCTATCATATTTGATAAACTCAATCAGGTCTACAAGGAATATCTAGAAGCTGAGCAGAACTACACCTTGGTGAGAACTGCCTAGAGTGTGTTCATTGTTTGTAATGCTTAGTGTGGTATGTTGATGTGCTAGGCAGTTTAATTTATTGCTGGATGACACAGAGCAAGAACACTACATTCTGCACTCTGTTCTGCTACCCTCATGCACTTTGTACGATCTGCCTATATAAGCATGCAAAACAATACTTTTCACTGTATCTCGGTAAATGTGACAACAATAAATCAAACTCAAACTCAATCTGCCTGCTCTTTCCCTCTATAAGCTGACCCTCCTGTGAATTTCAAAGCACGACAAAGTTGCTAAATGGACAAATTACTCACATGAGAGCTGTTTGTAAGTATCCCTTTGGAAGAAGGAACAAAAGAGCTTAAAAAGATGAAACAGCTTTCATCTGATACTCATTGGAATAGACTCTAGAACAAGAAAATGTTGAAATTTGGCAATGTTTTGTAAAAGACTAATCATATTTGACCAATCTGTTGGAGCTCTTTTTGAGGAAGTGTGTGGCATGGATAAAGGGGAACTGTGGATTTGCTGGACTTAGACTTCCAGATCTCTCATGATGCCACAATCAAAGGTTATTGTGGAAAATAAAACCACATGGTGTAGCGGGTAGCCTGTTGACATGGATCGAAGATTGGTTGGCTAACAGGATGCAGAGGGTAGGCACAAATGGGTCTTTTTTTTTTAGGTTATCAGTGCTGGGACTTTGGTTTACCACTTACATAAATGACTTGGATGAAGAAATAGAAGGTATTATTGCCAAATTTGCTGATGACACAAAGATAAGGAGGGGAAAAAAAGGTTCTGAAAAGGACATTAGTGATCTACAATGAGATGTAGATAGTGAGTGGGCAAGAATCTGCTGATTGTGGAAAAGTGTGAAATTGGCCATTTTTGGCAGGAAGAATGACCATTTTATTTTGATGGTTAAAGGAGATTTACTAGAATAATACCAGGAATGAAAGATTTTTGATACAAGGAAAGATCAGAGAAGCTGGGCTTATTCTCCTTGGAGCAGAGAAATTGACCTTATTGAGGTGTTCAAAATTATGATCAACTTTGCCAGGTAAGGAGGGATATACTGTTTCCACCAGCTGGTGACAGGACTAACTGAATAGCTCTTCCATGAGCTGCTATGAACATAATGGATCATAATGGCCTCCTTCTATACTGTAAACTTCTATGATGAGAGATTGAAGAGGATCTGGGTGTCCTTGGGAACTGCAAAAGGTTAGAATGCAAATGCAGCAAGTAATTAGGAAAGCTCATAGAATGTTACCGTTTATCACGAGGAGAATTGAATCCAAAAGTAGCTTATGCTTCAGTTATACAGTGCACTGATATGACAGTATCTGGGGAACAGTACTGGTTATCTTAATCAAGGAATAATGTTAAAGCTTTGAAAGCAGTTCAGAAAATAGTCACCAGACTAATACCTGGAATGGGTAGGTTGTCTTATGAGGGAAAAATTGGACAGGCTAGGCTTGTATCCTGCTGGTATTTAGAAGAGTAGAGATGACTTAATTTGTGCGTGTTTCAATCATGAGAGGTCTTGGCAGGGTGGGTGTGGAGAGAATGTTTCCTCTTGTGGGAGAATCATGAACTAATGGTTACTGTTTTAAAAATAAAGGATTGTCCATTTAAAACAGGTTAGGTGAATTTTATTTTTTGAGGGCATTGAGAGTCTTTAGAACTTACTTTTGAAAAATGATGAAAGCACCTTTTAAGTCCTTGAATATTTTCACAACGGAGTATGCTAGATTCTTGTTAAGCAAATGGGTAAAATGTTCTTAGGGGTAGGCAAAAATGTGGATTTGAGATTCCAGTCCAATGAGCCATAATCTCGTTGAATGACAGATGCTGAGTGAGCCACTCCTGCTCCTAATTCAAATGTTCATAAATTTCAGAAGGAGTAACGGTTTATGCTGCATGTCAAATGAGTGCTGCTTGGTTAGCAAGCCAACTCTTGTCAAAATATTACTGGACACCAATGCCTTGGGGTTTTTTGCCAATTAAATACTCTTTTTTTTAACTAAAATCACTGTTGCCATGTAGGAAGTATGGAAGACTATCTGTGTGCAGCAAGATCCTACAAATGGCATTTTTAGATAAAATTTGGTGATGTTGGTTGAGAGATTAATAGTGACCCAGAAGGAAAGGGGGTGCTCCCTTCCAGTTCTTTGAAATAGAGGTGAGGAATATTCTACCTCTGCATAAGATCCTGTACCTTCCCTTTAGGATCCTTTCTCTCACCTTGCATTCCCTCCCACCTCCAGTCCCAGAATTTAAGAGTAATGATGTTGAGTGTGATGATTGAAATGTTTTTCTTTTGCATAGGCTGTGGAGTCAGGAACAAGTCGCAGCAGCGTGACTCAGAAGAGGCCAGTGCGCGCACAGGCTGTCATTGACCAGTCTGACATGTACACCCATGTCCTGTCAGTTTTCACTGAGAAGAAGGTTTGTCACACTGAATGGGAGTCAGCTGAACTTGGGAAAGGAAAAACTAACAAAAGCAAAATGGACTAGAACTCATTCCAATCCAATGACACGAAGGGACTGTTGATCCCAAGGAGAGAATTAGTATCATTAGGGTTGCTATGAGAAGCTAACTCGATACCCAAAACTTAAATACCTAATTGTTGACTATTTAAATACTTGATGAAGAAAGGACAAACTTGCATTTATAGTGCACCTTTCATGACCTCAGGTCATCTCAAATAGTGATGAAGAAGTTACCTAGCAGGATACACTGGTGCAACATCTGTTGGCCTGATCATTTCTCCCCCTTGTAGCTTGCATGGAACGATTTGTAAATCAATGTGCAATGAAGTGAATTGCTGTAAAATAGGAAAAGGTGCTGCCAATTCATGCACAGCAAGCTCCAACAAAAAGCTCTGAGATAAAAATTGGGCATTTTTGTTTAAAATGATGTTAATTGAGGGATAAATGTTGACCAGAACACTGCAGAGAGCTTCCCTGCTCTTATTTGAAATAGAGCTGTGGGTTTTTTATGACCGCCTGAGAGAACAGATAGGGCTTGGTTAACATCTGCTGCTGAAACTCTCATCATCTAGATATTGCATCTAGACATAGCTATTCCAATACAATCCTGCTGGCTTCCAGCTTCCACCCTATACAAACCTAAGCTTATCCAAAATTCTGTTGCCCATGTCCTAACACAATCGTGTCCTGTTCATCGAACAGTTTCTTAACACTGACTAACGCCTCAATCGTAAAAATGTTTCTTGTTTTTACATCCCTCCATGGTCACATTCCCATCCTATTTCTGAAACCTCCTCTACCTTTATGGCCCTCTCTAATTAAGGTCATTTTAAATCACTTAACACCCCCTTATGTGGTTTGGTGTCTGGATAGATAACACTTGTGAAGGGTATTGGCCTTTTTTTGTGCATTAAGGTGTTACATAAATGCAAGTTGTTGTCATTTGAAAGATAGCTTCATTGACAATATGGTACTGCCTCAGTATTACACTGGGGTGTTAGCCTAGATTTTGTGCTCGGGTGTTTGGAGTGTGACTTGAACTGAAAATTCTTTCTTGGAGAAAACTACTACTAACTGAATCATGTCTAACTAAATGGTACATGGATTCTTCTTGTGTGCTTTTGCAAATCTATATTTTGCTTTGAGAAGCATAGAAGATGGGAACAGGAGTAGGCTGCTTGACCTCTCAAACCTGTTTTGTCATTCATAATGATCACAGCTAATCATTGAGCTCAGGATCCTAATCCTGCTCTCCCCCTACATATGCCTTGATCCCTTTAGACACAATATCTATCTCCTTGAAAACTTGAGAATTGAGCCATATTATTAGATTGTATTTTGCTCACAAAACAGGACTTAACCATTATGAAAAGGAGAGAAGTTGTTGAAACTTGAGACTTGTAGCTCAGGTTGTAGACCTGCTCGCCGAGTTGGTGTGTTTGATTGTAGATGTTTCGTCACCCTGCTAGGTATCCAGGGCTTTCTTCTTCTCTTCCGTGTTAAATGTGTTCCACTTACCTTTTCTGCTCCGTGTTGGGACTATCATCTGATTGATGGTCTGTTGTATTTCCTCCATGAGTCCGTTGCTCTTCAGTGTTGATTCGTTTTATTGTTGGATGGTGATGGCTTGTTCCAGTGTGGTTTTCCATTCTTGATCTGTTGCGTTGGATACAAAGGTTTTTTTGGTGAATACTTTCCCGCTTTTATTTGTGAAGGCAGTTGTGGGCATCGTTGATCATAACACTCTGCGGTCGTTCTGTGCGGCCATGCCTGTGGATTGTTGATAGGTGGTTTATATTTTAAACTTTGTGGTAGTACCTGTTTTCTGAGGCAGTCGTGTTGTTCACAGGTTGCGCTCAGATGGATGGCATTTGTCTCCCGTCTGTGGGCCAGTTTGAGGGTGTTGCACCTGTAGGTATTCAAAGTGTTTGAGAAGATTTTTGGCTTGGGTTGTGAATGAGATTGTAGACATGCTCGCTAGGATGGTGTGTTTGATTGCAGACCTAGCAGGTTGACAAAATGTCTGCAATCAAATACACCAGCTCAGTGAGCAAGTCTACAACCTCAAGTTGTTGAAACCTTTCATCTTGCACTCATCAGGATAAGGACACAAGAAACCAACCTTGAAGAAAGAGACACCAATTAATATAGTGGGAGAAGAGGGTGAGAGGAGGTTGCCAATTTCTGCTGCATTCTCATGACAACACTCTAACCGATCAGAGTCCACTTGAATGATTTGAGGACTAAGATTGTAGGTTAACTGTTCTTGCTGCATCTCCATGCCAATGATAGTCTAATCGATCACCCTCTTCTCATACAGTATGCCAAGAAACTTGACCTCATCCAAGTCAAAGCAGCTCACTTGATTGGCACCACATCCTTAAATATCCATTCCCTCCACCACCAATCCTCCGTAACAGAAATGTGTACTATCCACAAGATGCACTGCAGAAATTCACCAAATATCCTTGGACAGGATCTTCCAACCCATGGCCACTTCCATCTAGAAGGACAAAGGCAGCAGATACATGGGAATACCACCACCTGCAAGTTCCCCTCCAAGTCACTCACCATCCTGTCACTGGGTCAAAATTTTGCAATTCCCTCCTTGAAGGCATTGTGGGTCTACCTACAGCAGGTGGACTGCATCAGCTCAAGAAAGCAGCTCACCACCACATTCTCCAGGGCAAGTAGGGATGGGCATTAAATACTGGCCCAGCCAGCAATGCTCACATCCCATGAGTGAATAGAAATAACGTTATGGCATTTATATGCGGAGTCTGTTGGTGAGGATCGGCACAGGACAAACCTGTGGTGGAGTGGGTTCTGTCTGACAGCAACCTGTTGATTTCTTTGATTGTGTCAACATCAGAGTTGCTGTATACTTTGCCCTGTCACAGTGAGTGCTGATATAGAATGGTCACAGTGCTGAAGGAGGTTTGGGCCTATTGATTTCAAACTGACTTTCTTTGAGAGCAATTTCACAAGTCCCACTTTCCTGGACATCATCTTTTTCAAGTGCTTATTCAGTTCCCTTTTGAAAGATACAACTAAACCTGTTTCAGCCATCCTCATGTGGTGCATTCCAGATCCTAACCACTTGCTGGGTTTAAAAACAAAAGTTTTTGTATTGTTTTTGGCTGTTTTATCAATCACCAAGAGTGATTGGTTGTTGATCCTCTTGCCAATAGGACCATCCCAACCTCCAGACCCTTCATGATTTTTTTGCACCTCCATCAAATATCCTCCAAACCACCACCTCAGTAAGAGAAAAATAACACTTGTCTATTCCTCATCCCTCTGGCTAAGTCTTCACACCCTAAAAGGGCTCTTGTGATGTGGTGGTAATGTCTCTACCTCTGAGCCAGGAGGCATGGGTTCTAGTTCCACCTGTTCCAGGGGTGTGTAATAACATCTCTGATAGGTTGATTTAAAAGATACTCACTGCCTGAAGTACAACACCCAGGTCGGGATGCAGTACTCCAGGTGATAGCTTCACTGTTATTGTTGCAAACTCTGTACCCGATTTTAGTTTTTTTAAAAAAAAATTTACTGATAGATTGTAATACTGGAGTTCCTAATAGCTGGAGTCCTGGAAGCATGATCTGTACATAATTAATGTAGTTGATGTACCCACAGCTGGTTTTATGTATGCTGCTAAAAATGGAATTGATGGGCTGAATGGTCTTGTGCACACTTGTTTCATTACGATTTTCTACAACTTCTTTTAGCAGGATCTTCCCCACAAGTTTGTTAGTGCAGTGTTGATGGAATACATCCGGTCTCTTAATCAGTATCAAATTACAGTCCAGGTAAATCCATGCCCTTCAATCAGAAGTGTAAATTTTTTGGGTAATAGGTTTAATCTGCTTTCTCTAAAACATTGTATTTTATTACAGCATTACCTGTATGAATTGGTTATAAAAACCCTTGTCCAACACAGCCTATTCTACATGCTTCATCAGTTTCTACAGTACCATGTGCTTAGTGACTCCAAACCACTGGTGAGATACTAAACTTCTGGAATTATTCACATTACTTGTTGAATTGACCTTTTAACTGAATGACACACGGACATAATGAACAAGGAACAAGAAGAGTAGGCCCCTCAGGCCTTCGAGCCTACTTCACCATTTAATAAGAATGTGGCTGAGCTGAATTTCACTTCAACTGTGCATTCTGCATATCCCTAATTAATCTTTCACCTCCTTGGTAATCACAATTCTATCTACCTCTACCTTGGAAAAGTTTATGAATCACATGTATTTCATAACAGCCTGGTGCAATTTTTAAAGAAATTGGAATTGAGCAAATAAGCACCTGTCCTTACACACTTTTTCTTTCCTTTATTCATTCACAGGATGAGGGCATTGCTGCCTTGGCAGCATTTATTGCTCATCTCTAATTGCTTAGAGGGCAGCTAAGAGTCAACCACATTGCTGTGGGTCTGGAGTCATGTGTAGGCCAGACCAAGTAAGAATAGCAGTTTCCCTCCCTGAAGGACATTAGTGAACCAGATGGGTTTTTCTGACCAACCCGACAATGGATGCATGGCCATCATTAATATCAGATTTTTTTAATTATTGAATTAAATTTCCACCTTCTGCTATGGCAGGATTTGAACCGTGGTCCCCAAAACATCATCTTGGTCTTTGAATTAACAGTCCAGTGATAATACTACTAGACCATTACCTCCCCTCAATCTAACAATAAATTCAGAAATTTGAGACTGTAATCTGCCCATTCCATTTTTTTTTCCCTGGTTTGTACTTTTTTGTTTATCACATTTCTTTGTATTTATATTCAGATCAGCAGCTATTCATAATGTTTGCCATTTGCACCTTCTCCAGACATACCTGCTGTTTGTTTACTTGTCCTATTCCCACTTCCTTTGGCTTTGAATCATGAAATCATTTGTTATTTAATCTTTTCCTGCTTTCCACACTATCACCGACCATCCCTTCAGTTCTTTATCCCAACTTCCATCATTTTAGCTTCTCCAAACCTGCCATATCTCCAACTTTTAACAAAAGCAAAGTCAGTGTTTTTGCAGTGTAGAAAGAGGCCTTTCTACCCACCTATCTGTGCCAGTAATTAAGTTTCAGCCCTTTTTTCACAATCACATTTCCCAGCACTTGGCCATGTATGCTTTTCAAGTGTTCATCAAAGTATGACTTAAATATCTTGGAGAGTGGAAGACAGCAGCAGCATACCAGAACTTTGAGAGGCAGGGACAGAGACAGAGGGGAGTGTAGTGACCATCATGAAGGAGGTGGTGCTGGGGAAGCTGAAAAGTCTGAAGGTGGATAAATCACCAGATCAAATGGACTACAGCCTAGGGGTCTGAAGGAGATTGGGGATGTATGGGTGGTGATCTTGTATGAATCACTGGAATCAAGGTGGTTTCCAGAGGACTGGGAAATGGCTACTGTAACACCTGTTTTTAAAAAGGGAGGCAGTTAGCCTGACCTCAGTCATTGGTAAGATCTTAAGAGTTCATTATTAAAGGATGAGATTGTAGAGTAGTTGGAAGCATATTGTAAAATAGGGCTGGGTCAGCCTAACTTTGTCAAGGTGCGGTTGTGCTTGACAAATCATTGAGGAAATAGACAAAGGAGAGCTAGTGGATATGATCTATTTGGATTTCCAAAGGTCTTTTGACTAGGTGCTGCACTGGAGACTGTTAAATAAGAGGCTATGGTGTTCAGGGCAAGTTACTGAATGAATAGGAATAGCTGACTGGCAGAGTATGGATAAAGGGATTTTTTTTCAGGATGGCAGCTGGTGACCAGTGGAGTTCTGTAGGGGTTAGTGTTGAGACCATAATTATTCATGTAATACATCAACAATCTAACAGAGGGGGATTGTTGCTTGGTTTGCAGATGACAAAAAGATAGGTGGTGGGATATGTTGTGTTGAAGAAGCTTGGATGAGAAGTAGGAGGCCTGGTTAGTAAATTTGTGGATGACATCAAAATTGGTGGTACAATGGGCTAACAAATGGCAGATGGAGTTTAATTTGGGTAAATGAGATGTTGCATTTTGGTAATACAAACAAGAGCAGAACTTGCACAGTTAATGGTAGGGCCCTGGGGAGTGCAGTTGAACAGAGACCTAGGGGTTCAGGTACCTAGTTCTTTGAAAGTAGCATCACAAGTAGACAAGATGGTGAAAGTGATTTTTGGCATGCTTGCCTTCATTGCTCAGACTATTGAGCATAGGAGTAGGGATGTCACGTTGAGGTTGTGCAGGCCACTTTGAATCCTGTGTACAACTGATTGCCCTGCTATAGGAACATTATTAAATTGGAAAGAGTGCAGAGAAGATCTACAAGAACGTTTCCAGAACTGGAGGGTTTGAGTTATAAGGAGAAGCTAGGTAGGTTGGGATAATTTTCCTGGAGTGTAAGAGGTTGAGAAGTGCCCTCATAATTTTAAGCTTCTATAAAGTGAGTAGCAAATGTCTTTTCCCTAGGGAAAAGACAAGTGTAAAACTAGATGTAATTTTAAAAGTAAGGAGAAAGACTTTAAAAAAAAAAAAAAAAAAAAAACCAAAAAAAAGGGGGCAACTTCTCTTTGGAAGGGCTTTTCCATTGGGAAAAAACCCCCGAGGAAGTAGTAGA